AAAAACGGGCCCGTTTTTCGCAAAATACAGGGCATGTATAGGCTTTGGGAGGCTTGCAGAGTGTTCCTGGGGGCTGGGAGGGGGCAAAAACAGGCAAAAATCTTTCTGTTTTTCATTCGTTTTTACCGTCCCTAGCGCCCAGGAGCACTTTGCAGGCCTCCCAAACCCTCTGCACGTCCATTTTTGTGACGGGGTTTCAGGAGGCCAAAATGGTTGTATTCAGTGTATAAGACGCACCCAGATTTTCACCCTCTTTTTTTGGGGGGGGGGGAAGGGGCATCTTATACTCCAAAAAAATGGTAATTGTTTTTGCTGTTTGACAGGGGACAAGAGAGCCATCTTTACAGTATTTTATAACAAATCAGATGTGAAGTTTTATTTTATTTTATCTAGATTGGCTTGGTGTTAACCATGAATTTCCAAATGAAACTCTTGGATGTTGTTGCAACATACTGTTTTTAGTTATTCTCTTCTGGGTGAAAGTTTGACACAAAAGGGCATCTAAATATCATTTTACAGGGTTAGAAACTTCACAAGAAGGCCTGTTAACACTTGTAAAACAAGCTAAAGCTGTCACTAACAGAGTAGCAACATATGGATATAAATCAGTTCTGGAAGAAAAGAGCTACAGAAGAAAAGAGCTAACTTTGCTTCAATTATTTCAGAGATTCAGAATGTAGAATAACATAGTTGGAAGGAGCCTTAGAGATCTTCTAGTCCAACCCTCTGCCCATGCCATTTCGGAGAAATGGGTGTCCAGTCTCTTCTTAAAATCTCCCAGGGATGGAGCACCCACAACCTCTGGAGGCTCCATGTAGTTTTTCATATGTTTGTCATATATTTTTCGTGACAACAGAGATTTTTCAGAAGAATTGCTTACGTGTCGGCCTGACCACGTGGCAGTTCAGAGCTGGCTTTATAATTATTGAAGATGTGATATTTAGTTGAACTTTCTTCATCTGTGCAATTTTCTAGTTCCTCAAAATGACCAAAGGAGGCCTTGCAGCTCCTGCATTTGAGGAAATGTGACCTTTTAATGCTTTGTGGGAATATTTTCTTTTCCCAGCCAACACAGATATAAGCCTATCATCAAACCATCAACTTTTCTTATTACAGACTAAGCGTAGTTTACGAATTAAATTACATGTAATCCTCAATTTAAAACAGTTCATTTAGTGGCCATTGGAAGTTACACAGCACTGGAAAAAAAAGAGACTGATGACTGGTTTTCACACTTATGACCCCAAAGTCATGTGATCAAAATTCAGAGGCTTGGCGACTGACTCGTATTTATGACGGTTGCAGTGTCCTGGGGTCACATGATCCCCTTTTGTGACCCGACAAAGTCAAAACCAGATTCACTTAACAGCCAGGTTACTAGCCACACACAACTGCAGTGATTCACTTAACAACTGTGGCAAGAAAGGTCATAAAATGAGGCAAAACTCACTTAACGAATGTCTCAGCAACAGAAATTTTGGGTTCTATTGTGGTTGTACGTCATGGATTACTGAACTAATTAAGTTAAAACTTAAAAAACTTAGGTAGAACTGCAAGCTGGAGCAAACAGAATAAAGTGTATGAGGTGAAAAGACACAATCACTTTTGCACTAGTTTGGGGACAGTGAGACACCAATTTTAACAAGCTGCAGAAACAAACTTTATACTATGAAGGGCACAATTTAAACTTGAAACAGATTTTTTTCCACCGGTCCAAATGCGGTATAGGTTTCATTTTTTAAGAGGTGAGGTAAAGATTGTGTTTGACAGGTTCAGTAAGACAGTATTTTACAAATTAAACTTCCTCAAACAATATTCTTAATGACAAAGCAGGTAACTCTGAAGATAATAAGAGCTGAACTGGCTTTAGTTCAATTAGTTGTTTCAGGGATCTTGAAGAATATCATGGTCTAAAGGAATACCCAGCAACAGTTTTTAGATTTTACCAAGAAGTCTTGCGTGTTTGCTCTTTGTCATTTCTGCATTTTTAGAGAGATCTGGTGCACCACTGTTAACTTAGATGCGATAGGTAATTCCTTCCTTCCTTCTTCCTTTCATCCTTCCCTCCTTCGTTCCTCTTTCTCTCTCTCTCCCCTTCCTTCCCTCCCTCCCTCTTCTTCTCTTTTCTTTTCTTCTCTTTCTTGTCAAGCAGGCAGCTAATGATTTTAATTAACATTTGTAAGCCTAAGTGTGACATCTCTCTTTACATACTGGTCAATCATGTCTAATTGAGATCACTCCTTGTGATAGCCTTACCCAAGACTCTCGATCCCTAGGGAACTGTGTCCTTTGTACAATTGTTTATTCACCCAGCCCTGTTTCCACACAAGGCACATGTAAGATCTTGCTTGGAGCAACTGACTGGAGAGAATGCGGAGGTTCTTTTGGCTGGCAACCAGCCTATCCTACCCATGTTTTGTCTTAAGAGGGGCTGAATTAACATCTCCCTGCTTGTTCAAGACTTTTCCTGCGGAACCTGCCTTCTGCTTGCTGAGAGAGCTTTTGACTTCTGAATGGAGAAGGTCTTCAGGTCTCCAGGAGTTTAGCATCCAGGTGAGAGCCAGTAGATGTCTCCTTTTATTCCTATGATATATTTGGAATTCAAGTCAAACTCCGAAGACCATCATAGCCACCTCCCATGTATTCCATGCTACTTCTGGTTCGTGTTTCATACTAGAAGGAAAGGCTATTGGTGAGTCCCCCCACCTTTTCCTAAAATTTTGTGGAGTTAGAATAGAATAGAACAGAATTCTTTATTGGCCAAGTGTGATCAGACACACAAGGAATTTGCCTTTGGTGCAGATGCTTTCAGTGTACATAAGGAGAATAAAAATATATTCATCAAGTTTAATTAGTTGTTCCAGGGATCCTGGAAGAATATTTTTGTCATCATGTTCTAAAGGAATACCTAGCAAAAGTTTTTAAATTTTACTAAGAAGTCTTGCATGTTTGCTCCTTGTCATTTCTGCATTTTTAGAGAGGTCTGGTGCACCACTGTTAACTTATCTTTCATGTCCACATTAGCAACATAGTTGTGTAGAATTCGACATTATCTTCATAGTTATGTGTTTGGACCATCCTTCTTTGCAAAGTATTTGAAAAACTATTTTCAAAATTAAAAAGAAGGTATCATTTTTTAAAAAAGGGGTTGATTTTTATCCACCTTGCTTTTAAAGCCATGTATAACCTCAAAAAACAAAACAGTAAGCCGTGTTTAATTTATTTGGCAGAAGCGGTTATAAGCAACTCTTCCCTCATTAAATGAACTTAGGCTGGAAAGGAAGGCTGAGAAAGTTTTCAGGATCTGTTAAAATTCAGCAGTATAATCCACAATCAAGATTTGCAATAATACCAACTGGGGGTGTTTGCATCCCTGCTAGAATTGTTGCAAGTTAAGAATAGCAGCAAACTCTTGAGTGTATTCAGATGCATGGAATCCAATGTCATCACTATCAATAAACAATACACAAAGATACAGTTGTTTAAATTGGCCTCCCCCATTTTTTTTTGAGTGTTGGTGTTTCAGCTCCCAAGGCATGAGGTCATCAGCCTTGCTGTCTAGGGATTATGGGAATTTGAGTCCAACTGAACTGGAAATGTGATCTTGAATTAATTCCTTCCCTCCCTCCCTCCCTCCCTCCCTCCTGCTTGCTTGCTTGCTTGCTTGCTTGCTTGCTTGCTTGCTTGCTTTCTTGCTTTCTTTCTTGCTTTCTCTCTCTCTCCTTCCCTCCCTTCTTTCTTTACCTCCCTCCCTCCTTTCTCTTCTCTTTTCTTCTCTTTCTTGTCAAGCAGGCTGCTAATGATTTTAATTAACATTTGTAAGCCTAAGCGTGACATCTCTCTTTACATACTGGTCAATCTAATTGAGATCTCATTCTCATTCATGTTTCATACTAGGCTATTTGGTGGAGTTACCCACCCCCCATCTTTTCCTAAAATTTTGTAGATGTTAGAATAGAATAATAGAATAGATCAGAACAGAACAGAATCCTTTATTGGCCAAGTGTGATTGGACACACAAGGAATTTGTCTTTGGTGCAGATGCTCTCAGTGTACGTAAGGAGAATAAAAATATATTCATCAAGAATAAAGAGATACAACACCTAGTGATAATCAAGATTATATAATAAGCTATTCAATGGTACTCTGAAACAATAAAAACAATATAAATTGAAAGATACAAGCAACATGATGGGGAGAGAAAGATAATAGGAAGGAAGAGAAGAATAATAGTAATACTTATTTACTAATTCTTAGTAAATTATTGACAGTATTGTGGGAATTAGTTGTTAAATAGAGTGATGATATTCAGGGAAAAGGTGTCCTTGTGACTAGTTGTTCTGGTGTGCAGTGCCCTATAGTGTTGTTTTGACAGTAGAAATTGAAACAATTTATGTCCAGCATGTGAGGGGTCTGTGGATATTTTCACAGCCCTCTTTTTGACTCCTGCAGTGTGCAGGTCCTCAATGGAAGGCAGGTTGGCAGTCATTGTTTTTTCTGCAGCTCTGATTATCCTCTGAAGTCTGTGTCTGTCTTGTTGGATTGCAGAGCCAAACCAGACATTTGTGGAGCTGCAGATGACAGATTCAATAATTCCTCTGTAGAACTGAATCAACAGCTCTTTGGGGAGTCTGAGCTTTCTGGGTTGGCACAGAAAGAACATTCTTTGTTGTGCTATTTTGATAACATTTTTGATGTTAGGTGTTGATTTTAAGTCTTGAGATATGATAGAACCTAGAAACGTGAAGGTCTCTACTGTTGATAATTTCCTCTTCATTCATCGGGGAAGGTGCTTAGCCTGAATTTTAATACAGCCACACAAAAAGAACTTTGGCTATTTGTCATCAAAAGCACAAGGGCTTTATGAAACCAAAATAATCCAGAAATTATTAAGAACAGTTAAGAATTTCTGCAAAGCCAAAACCGTAACACTAGAGCAGCAATAGAATTGAATTATAGAATACATGCAATAGAACAGAATTGAGGCAATGGGATACACTGTCTCCCGGTTCATACTTGTTTATTTTGCTACTGTTGTTAAGGAAAGGTAGATTATAATGGTAAATGCAATGTTTTAGTTTTTGATGTAAGCAATGCATATTATATTTGGATAATTTTATTCTTTTTAAGTCAAATTGATAATAGAATATGGATTCTATATCCTGAGAACAAGATAGGAAAATAACAGGGAGAAAAGTGATTCGGTTTTTGGTAGGGGATGTTCATTATCGGTGGTCCTTGACTTACGATGGCAGTTGGGACCAGAATTTCCATTACTAAGCGAGGCAGTTGTAGAGTGAATCATGTCTGACTTTACAACCTATTTGGCCACAGTTAAGCAAATCACTGCAGTTGTTAAGTGACTCACGTGGTCGTTAAGTGAATACAGTTTCCCCTTCTGCATTGACTTTGCTTGTAGAAAGGTCACAAATGATGGTCACGTGGTCCCCAGGACATCTTTTGACAAGCATTTGAATTTTGATGTGACCATGGGAATGCTGCAGCAGTCATAAGTGCAAAGACTGGTCATAAGTCTCTTTTTCCAGCGCCATTGTAAATGATTGTACGTTGAGGACTAGCTACATAGCTAGTGCTTACATTTTGCTCTAGTGTGGTCTGAAGTACTGGGAAGGTTTAACAGTTGTTGCAGTGTACAAAGTGCTCTGGAAGATGTACATAAAGATAGACTAAGCTACTTTATCCAAGTTCAGATTATTGATTCTTTGGGAAAGAGCCGAGGTGGCGCAATGGTTAGAGTGCAGTACTGCAAGCCACTTCAGCTGACTGCTATCTGCAGTTCGGCGGTTCAAATCTCACCGGCTCA